CTCATATAAGCTTGTAGTGTCCAGTGGGCATAACTAGAAACTGCAAGACAGAGGTTCCTAGGGTTGTGTCTGGGACCGGAGATATTGGCTAGTGTCATTCGGTTATACAATCCAAGGAGCAGCTTACATGCCGGAGGCTGTGCACGAACAGCCCAGGAGTGGGGGTTCTCACAGCAGAGCAGGGTAAGGCTGGCTCCCAGAGTCAAGGACTGGAGTGACCTAGCAGATCACCAGTCCAGATAACACCAGAGGGGAATGTCAGACCCAGACACTGTGCAGGAAGGAGGGCATGGCAGGATCTCTCTTCTTGGCTCCATCAATCATATTTGGGCTCCAAATTGTTCTATGGTCATTTTCCTTCTGTTTCATAAAGATCTGATTGGCATTAGGAAGGGGAGAAGGCACCTGCATGGTATTGAATTGGGTTGAGGGTTTCATTTACGCACTCACCATGCTCCCGCAGATAGGCAATGGTTTCCCTGACCACCAGTGGGACGGGGGCCTGATCAGAGCTCTTTTCCCTTAGGCTGTGGGAAGAACAGAAGGTTAGAGGTTGCCAGTTACCTCTTGCCCGCATGCAGCTCATCACATCTGACATATGTACGTAGCAGGGACCTCTGCGGGATCCCTCTCCCCGCCTAGTCCTGTCCCACTCTTTGCCCCTCAGCCTGCTCCCCCTCCCTCTCCCCATCCCAGTCCAACCAGGGCAGCATCCCACATGTTTTTGATACTACAATACACATATGTTACGCTGCCTCCTACTGCTGGTCTGTGTTGAGGAGCAGCGACTGCATTACAGCCAGCGTCAGGGGCCCAAGCTGGAGGGTTTGGTTGCTGGGAAGGGGCCAGGAAACAATTGAGGTGGCTCTGTGGGATGCAACTCCTTTTTCTTTCTTCGCTTTAGGCAAGAGCAGAGGGGAGTTTAAATGTAGGGGAGCGAAGGACAGGAATCCACCTAGACAGCAGCTAGCTGCTGTGTATTACTCTCCAACATCTGCCATTACATCCTGCAATGACAAATGCCAGATGGTTCAGTTCAGATGATCAGTAATGTAATATCTAATGTGGACATGTACATCACCATCATTTGGCTTCGGAGTCAAACCCCCATTGCAAAGAATGGGCCAAGTCACCTCTCTCTGAGAGATCGGTTCAGGACGCCTGCAAGCTCAGCCAGCAGTCACTGTGCTGGTTACACTGAGCTCACGTTTGGAAGGCTTTCACTGCAGCCAGAAGGGCTAGAAAATCACTTCCCAAACTGCCTCAGGGACAACTGCCTGAGCACATGGAGCTGGTTTCTCCTCATTTCCACTGGCCAAATTGCATTAAAAGCTAAAAATACATTAAATAATACTTTGCTGACGTCACTTTCCCATGTCAGCAATTCTGAAGCTGCCTCAGGGATGTGATGTGACCGGGAAGCAGAGGCAAGGGTGAATGGGAGGGGATGTGTCCCTGAGAAACCCTCTATTAAAACAGCATTGAAGCTATGGAAAAAGTTGAGGGTCAGGTCCTCTGCCCTGCTCCAGCAAAACAACATAGGCCTAATGCCATTTTAGCCGGCCCCTTGAGGAATCCTCCCACTCAAGGAATCCTCATATGGCAGAGAAGTGCCATCATGGCTTGTACTCCAGCCCTTCCCACTCCTAGCCCCACGCACACAGGCGTGTAGCTGGGGTGTCCTGGCACTCCAGTGAATCCTCAGTTACTGAAACAACCCCTTGTGGGCTGTTAGCATGTTAGAGAAGCCCTGCAGCGCCTCTAGTTTACACCAAGAACCAGCCCAGCAATCAGGCAAGCCACAATTTGAGGTGGGCAGAGGGTAGCTCAGGATCTGGGCTAGAGAATTGAGTTTTTCTAAATGACAACTCAGATTCTGCAGCAATTTCAAGAAACGGGCAATTTCGAGGCCATTTCTGCAACTGCACTATTGCATTATACACAGGGCTCTGGCATTAGCTGGCCCAGCCAAAGCTACGCAACTCTAAGATACTCACTGCTGCAGAGAGATCCCAAACTGCTGGTTTGGCAGTGGTGGGCGCGGTGGGGTCAGCTTCTGGGGCACTTGAGAGGGTTTCTGCAGTGATTTCAGGTACTCGTCATATCTGTAGTGAGAGAGACAGATTGGTAGGGAACCAGCCCATCTCACACAGGGACCACCAACCAGTGCCTACCACCTCACACCCGGCACCCACCCTACTGCTTTGTGGATGCAACCAACCCAGCCCCTCCTGCTGATCCACTGGGAACTGCCCCAAAGACAGCTCTAGCCTAGTACTTGCTGACCCCAAGGACAGGCAGCTCAGGAGTGCTGGGGCAGCAAGACCAAAGGGCTCAGTCTCCAGCGGAGAAGAGGGAGCAAGGGGGGAGGCGGGGGTCTGTACAAAGAGAGGAGCTTGCTGGGATGAATAGGGAAAAGACGGGGCAAAGGACCGTGCACCTAGGAAGTCAGGGGAAGTTTGCTGGAAGACAAGGGGTGATGGGGTGTGCGTGTGCATGGGAGAGAGGTAGAGCCACAGGGATCTGAACAGGCTGGAGGTGCAGTTGAAGCACCTTTGGGAGACCACAGAGGAAAGCTGAAATGAGAAGGCTCCACTGAGCTTTTGAGCAAAGTGGATGTACAGGCAGCAGCAGACAGGGAGGGACAGCAGAAAGATGCCTGGGGGTAAAGTCACTTGCCTGAGAGGAGACCAAGAGGCAGAAGAGACAGAGGCAGCAAAGGGGCCAAGTGAGCCTGAGCCAGGCATTGACGCTGAAGACAGGCAGGAAGGGGAGCTAGGAAGAGCCCCCTCTCTGAGGCACCCTGGCACTGCTACCTCGGATGAACCATCACTTCGGAGCAAAACAAGGCCCCTCCCCATTGCTTCCTTCCCCCTTGCCACTGTTTCCCCACCCTGCATCTTCCCTCCTCTCCCGGAGCCATGGGTAAGCAGGCAGGCAGGCCGCATGCTCTCACTTTAGCACCTGGCTTGGGATCCCCAGCTGCTCCAGCTTCACATGCTCCTCCAGCTCGCTCAGGAAGTTTGCATAAAAAATCTTCCGTCCAAACTTGAAACTGCAAAACAGAGGACAAGCAGCCCCATGAGGGATCCGGAGTGACTAACATCAGCAGAACTGGGGGAAGCCCAGGGCAAGAGCAGCAGGAATGAGGGGCTGTTAGCAGAGCTGTCTGGGGGAGCAAGAGCTGGAAGATCATGGGGCCTGCGGGGCAGAACTGAGGGGCCTTGGCAGTGCTGGAGGCAGCAGAGGTTCAGCAGTAGGGGCACCACACCACGCAGCTCTCTCTCAACCCCCATATTCCGTGAGGCACTGCTAAGGCTCCTCCACAGCCTGGCTCAAAGCCTGGCAAAGATGGGCTCTGCACAGCACAGCACTGCCCCTCCCTGGGCTCTGCAGCAGGCCAGAGTCCGCTCCCCTTTTCATTTTTGGCCCAGGAGGCTGGCGGTTTCACTGGTGACACGCTGAACTCAGTGCCCCTCTGGGTTTCATTCTCCTCCTCCCCTTCTGTCCTGGTGCTAACGCCTGGGACATGTGGCCTTTGCAGGGGCTGAGCTCCCCAGGCCCCAGCAGAGGGGCTCTTGTTTTGCCTGGATCTTTCAGAAATAATGGGAGGCATATCCCCCGAGAGGTTAATGCAGGAGGAGTCACCAGTGCCAGCACAGGAGGAGCTAGGAGCCTGTGCTCCCCTCCTGGCCTGCTGAGGAATGCTGCACATCCCCCTGCACCCAGGGAGCTTGAGCCAGCCTCCGCTGCCCCCTACCTGATCAGAGGCTTGAAGAGAATCAGCAGAGTCTTGATGAACATCGTTGGGTGCACGATGTACAGCGCTTTGATGTTCTTCTTGTACCTGCCAAAGGAAGCCGAGTGAGGGAGAGCTCTGCCTGGGCTGGGGAGCTGGGCTGCTCCATCAGGTCAAGCCCCCAAATGGCTCCCTGGGGCTCTAAGTCCCACCCTCCACACTCTCAGTGCACTGTGCCCCTCCCTGGGGCCCCGTGTGTTAACCCAATTCCCCAGCCTTCTATAACACCACTCTCCCCTCATTTCCTAGCCCTCAACCACCCAGCAACCTCAACCCCTGCTCTTTGCCACCCCACGACTCCACTCATGAGGCATTGCCCCATAAGGGGAGGAGCTGCCAAATGGCCTGGACACTTGCGTTGACTCTTGCCTTTGCTAGCCCCCTGCTGACCCGGAGAACTTTCCACAAGAGCGGTTTGTACCCCTCACTCTGTCTGTAGAACTTTCTATCTTCATAGCATTTGACAAACATCAGTTCACCCCCACCACCTCCCAGCAGGTAGAGATGTGGGAGGGATCATGATCCCCATGTTACAAATGGGGAAAGGACTTGCCTAGGACATGCTTTAGCTCCAAAGAGGACCACACAGGGAGTCAGACTGTAGAAGAGAACTCAGGAGTCCTGTCCCATTGGCCACACCTACTCACTTGCGGTCAAATTCCCGGTAGGCATCCCGCAGCCAGCTCAGGGACGGCTTGTTCTCACTGGTGAGGCCATGGTGCAGATACACCAATGTGTAGTCACTCTCCACATACTGGTCCAGTGTGAACTTAAGATACCTGGGAAGACACAGGAACTTCTGAGCTCGCAGTATGCACTGGCATGTGTATAAGCTTGCTCCCTATTGGCCACAGTTGGCATAAGGAAAATTTTGCCACACTGCAGAAACGGAGGCACTTGTGCCCTGGGAGAGGAGCATACAGGAGGGCAATTCCTGGCCGGGGGTTGGCTGGATGTGGGGTGCAGCCCACACCTAGTTGGAGATTATAACAGAGGGCACATATCCAGCCAGAGCAGCTGCTGCCTGTAGATCTGCCCCCTAGGACTCGGGGACTGTCTCAGATCCAGGCTGTCATGGGAGCAGTGGGCCCCCAAGGCAGTACTCACTGCAGCAGTTTCACATGGTCAAGTTGATGGCAGGGTGGCATCCGGCAGGCACTGAACAAAATGACTTTCCGTCCATAGTTGTCATCACCTGGGAATGAAATGCCAGAGATCACAGGGAGATTCAGGGACAACACTGGGCTCCCACCAGCATATGTGCAATGCAGCAGGAGTCCCTGTCCCTCCACCACAGGGCAGAAGCCTGGGATTTCACAGTAACCAATACAGCTTGCCTGACCTCTGCCTCAGCAGAGCCCACCTCGTCCATAGGTGGGGGAAGGCAGTGATCTGAGAGCACGCAGGGCCCTAAGGGCAAGTAATGTGAAAGATGTCTGGAGCCAGTGTGGAGTATATGCCACATAGCCAGCAGGAAAGGGCAGGACGTGGGACTCAGATGTCCTGAGGCATGCAGGAACTGTTCCCCACACAGTGGCCTCAGGTAGCAACACTGAAACAGAGATTGCTCAGAGTTGGGCACCTGCAGCACTGTGGCTGTGTGCATTGCTACAGAGATGTAAGTACCCCTAGTAGAGGGAAGACCTTCCCCTCGCAGATGCAGAAGCTTCAGAGCGCGGGCCCAGGGTATGTGCTTCTCTCCTGGCATATTTGCTCTTGCTTCGACTGAAGTTTGCTCCTACATGCACAGTGAAATCAGACCACACCCTAAGGGAGAGGGTAAAGCTGCACAAAGGACAGGCTGGCTCTGGGCAGGATGGAGCAGAGCAGAGCCAGGTGATGAGGGGCAGGCTCCACTACTCCCGCTCCTCCCCAGAGCCTATCCTAGAGAAGTAGGAATTGGTACCATGAGCCTCCGAAGTGTTTTGCAGAACAATCTTGTTTACTGGCTTCATCATCTGATGCAGCCTAAGGGTATGTCTACACAACCAAGAAAAGCCCATGGCTGGCCCATAACCCTCTCATCCAGTCCCAGCCCGAGCTCCAGCCCAAGCCCAGATGTCTACACTGCAATGAAACAGTCTCAGCCCGAGTCGGCTGACATGGGCCAGCCATGGGTGTCTAGTTGCTGAGTAGACATACCCTAAAACTGTTCTGGAGAGATCACCTGGCAAATCCAGTGTGATTCTATCAAACTTAGCATGGGGACAACCCTACCCAACTCAAAGCCCAGCAAAGAACAGCTCTCATCACACCAGAAGAACTCCACCCTAGGGACATGGTCCCTGATCCTCTCCTGTGGTTTCACAGATCTTGGGCCAGATTCTCACCTGACATAATTCTTATGATTTCAGTGGACTTCTGCCAACAGAGAATGTGGCCCCATGAATGAAGCCCTAGTAGGGAGATGAGGGGAGAGTTCAAGTGAGCGGATAGAGGGAATTGCACCCTATCTGATTCTGAGCTTTTCTCCTTTGTACTGATTCACTAAGCACGTGGGTACACAGAGCTTCAGTGCAGCATGAACAGATATATCACCTGCATGAAGGAGCCCCCATCTATTTCCATCAGGGTGGCTTATTTTCAAATACCAAGAAGGGGTGGGAACAGCTTCCCTAGAGGACAATGAAGAGCAAAACTTGTCCCGAGGGCCTCAGTTTCCTGGTGAGCCAATGCAGCGTGTCCTGCCCAGTGAGAGAAGGGGGAGTACAGACTGTTCTAAGTTGCACCAACAATGCCACAAAGGCTGTCGCATGGAGAAGAAGCAGAAACTTTTCTCCATTTCAAACTGCAGAGTTGCCCGGTATCATTCACCACCACAATCACTTCTCCGGTTCCCCATTTAAACTCACCTCCCACAGGGCATGCAGCCACTTTTCTTCACATCCCTGCACTGGGATCTTGGACCCCAACTGCCCCTTTATTACAATCAATGCCCAGCAACTGAGATCTTTAGTCAAAACAGAGCAGGTTATCATGTCTAACAAACAAGGGCCAATTCCAAAGTTTGCAGAAATAAAGCCTGCCTGCACTAAGGCAAGTGCTTGTTGATGCCAAGAGCAGCCGCAGGTCCGCATGTGTGTGAGCATGGCCACAACACCAAAGAAAGCATTACCTCTCAGGGGCCAACAGTCCTCAACCCCATCCACGCAGTCCAGGCTGTGAGAACAGATTTCCTCTCCAGTCTGTCACTCTCATTTTCCCTTTCCACTGATATTTTATTGTAACTCACCAGACAATACAAGAGAATATGGAGTTCACCAATATAAACAAACTGGTCCCTGTACAAAAGTTAGGGAGACAACTGAAGCAATAGGGGACAGCTCAAGGTACAGGCCATGAGGGAGTGATCAACCATCACATGAACACAACAGTGGCATGCTGGGGTAAAAGGCACTGAGAGAGGACATGGTACCCAGCAGATACACAAGACCTGGAGAGGGTGATGCGGAGACCATTGGGAACAACTGTACACAGCCACAGCCAGGCCACAAGACCAACATCAAACAGATTATCCCATGGGCGCCCAAACTCCGTCTAACCAAGAAGCTTCTTGACAGCTTGCCATACACCCACTGAGCATAAATGGGTACATCGCAGCTGCCCTTATATTGAAAATGGAAGAGTAGCCTGCAAAGTCATGGGCTTGTGGATAAGGCACTATTACAGCTTCCCCATGTGGACAGGTCATTCAGCCTCTCTGCCTCAGTTCCTCATCTGTACAACGGGGATACTTCCTGACTTCACAGGGCGTTGGGAGTATAAATCTGTTTATGTTTGTGATGCTCTCACGCATTGTGATGATGGGGGCTCAGATAAGAATACAGAGACACTCCAGGTCTCAGTACGCAGTGTGAAAAGGCGCTATATGTTGGGAACAGCACTCTCTCCTGGCCACCCCTCCAGATTAATAGCCACATGGTCCATATTTAACTGCCTTTCAAGCAAGGCTAGTTTGTGCAACAGAAGCCAGGAGTAGAGCCCAAGCATGGCCAAGTTCATGCCTTTGTTGTGAATGCTCTGCACTGATGCAATATCCACAGCAGAGTTCTGTGCTGAGGTCCTTGAGAAACTGATTTCTGAGCCTGGCAAATCACTAGACATGGACCAGCTGAAGCACATAGCCCTTAAGGGCAAATCAAACTCCAATATCAAGACACCTGCCACTGGAGCAACATGAAAGACAACACTTAGGGCCCAGAAGGCAGTGCCTGTAACCGCGATTGGTACAGAGTCCTGCTGAGAATGCCTGGTGCTGTCAGTTCTGCGGCCTGTGTTATACAGGAGGTCACACGAGATGATCACAATGGTCCCTTCCGGCCTTAGAATCTATGGATCCTGGACCAGCCTTAGAGAGGAAGGCAAATTCTCTTGGATACTTGCCAGAAGAAAGTAAACAGAAAGGGGCATCTAATCCCTCAGAGAGCTCCAGAAACATGGCCAGATTTGCCTTCCAAATCAGGATAGTACATTGTGTAAGAGCATTTAGGGAAGGTAGCTGGAGAACTATACTGAGACCAACATACCACCAGTGCCAGGGCTTCTCCTTAGCTCCCTGTACTGAGCTCAGTCCGCTAACTTATAAATCACCTGAAACGAACTGCTTCATATCCCATTTCCATCTGCCATCTCAGATCAGACTGGTCTTTCCAGACAAGGCAAAGCCAGCTCCCAAGCATTCAGGGGGGTTTGAATCACCAATGGTTCCAATTTATAAATGAGAAACTGCAGCCAATTCTACAAGCTTTTGGCTAGCTGAGGAAACTGCCTCCAGCTGACCGCTCTGCCTTGGAGAGAGCAGATCATGTTTGATCTCGGACAGATGTTCCACTCCTTGTACTGTTTGGTTTTGAAAATGCAAAGTTAATCTTATTTCTAAGTCTCTAAATTTTAGCCACTTCTTTGCAGTGCAAACAGCTATTGCTCCCACTAAGCACAACCACAGACCTTGAACTAATGACTCCACTGTTCGTTTGTTCCCCTCCTCTCCCAAATGGGGTATGTTCAGCAATAACTCAATTAGCAAACAACCAGCAATAAGTGATTATACAGCACCCAGAGTCCAAAGCACACAACAAACATCACACGTAGATGTCCAGACACACAAGGAATCACTTCATCCAACACCGAAGTGTAGCTACCTTTGGAGTGGAACATAGCAACAATGCACAATGGTATGCAAAGAATAGTATTATATTCATTTCATAGCTTCCAAGGCCAGAAGGGACCATTGTGACCGCCTATATAACTCAAGCCATAGAATTGCCCCAAAATAATTTCCAGAGCAGAGCTTTTAGAAAGACATCTAATCTTGCTTTCAAAATTGCCAGTGATGAAGAAGCCCCACGACCCTTGGTAAATTGTTCCAGTGGTTAATTACCCTCACTGTTAAGATTTTATACATTATTTCCAGCCTGAATTTGTCTAGCTTCAACTTCCAGCTCTTGTATCATGTTCTACCTTCTCCGCTAGACTGAAAAGCCCACTATTAAATATTTGCCCCCAGGTAGGTACTTACAGACTAATCAAATCACCCCTTAACGTTTCCATTTTGAAGCGAAGTAGATTGAGCTTCTTGAGTCTACCACTGTAAGGCAGGTTTTCTAATCCTTTAATCATTCTCGTGGCTCTTCTCTGAGCCCTCTCTAATTTTTCAACACCCTTGAGGACTGAAACTAGTGTGAATTTAGGGAGACCCAACATAACTACTCAAACTAGAATCTGACCAGGACCCAAGGTAAACACCCTGAAAAGTACATGGTGTTTTTAAGGACCAAGTGGTCAGCACCTCAGTTTTCTCCCTCATGCAGAGGGGAGCACCTCCAGCAGCACAATACACTTCCAAATACCACACTGGGGCATTGGGGCAACAAGAATTATGATACCTTCTAAATCATCAACACAATCCCTTGCTTTTTCTTAGAGTGCTGCCACTCAAATGTGTGAGATCACAGCCTGAGATGTGCTGGCTGTGTCAGAAGCACAAGGTGTATCAGAACTATAATATAGTCCTGATAAGACCACTCTGCATTAAATGGAACCATAAACCCATTAAGGGAACTATTTGCTTAACTGTCTGCAAAACTCCCTAAACATTTCCTGGTGTGTTTCACCTGGGGAAACACTGCCCAGGCTACTTGAGATCTATGCCCTGATTTGAGTCTGTTGCATGATTAGGACAGTTAACTAGAACCAGTCCAGGAACCCTGACTATTCTTAATCTCTGTATGTACAATCAGATGGGTATCCAATTTCTATGCAAATCTCAAGTGGGAAATATCCTAGTATTTAGATATCATCCGAATGCAGTTAGATAGGGTCTGCCACCAAAGAGCCAATGTTACAAAATATTCCAAAGATACAACATTCAGGGATGAGTATACGAAGTAGCAAAACTCAAAGATCTGGCCCTCAGCCACACTTGAGGTTCACAGACACTACAGGTTCAGAATGCAAGACTGCCTGATCAACCTGGAGCACTGCATGCTGGTACCTTTATTGGAGCAGAAGCCAGAAACAAACTATTCTATTTCATGCAATTTCAGGCTCCAGGCAAGTTGGTGACACAGCTGGGAAGGGTCAGATATCTCTGACATATTTTAGTTTCACTTCAATGCAGAAGCAGACTGAGCATTTCATGCAGACAGGAAGCAAACCCTAAACTGGGGTGTGGTACAGCTCTGTAGGCAAAGAGCAACTGCTGCAACACTAGGTCCCAATCATTAGAGTGCTCATTTACGAATTTACGTATCATGGCCCCCAAAGTTCCATTAAACTTCTCCACCGTGCCATTTGTTTGATGGTGGTAAGGAGTGGCAACCAAATGATTTACCCCATGAGCTTCCCAAAGGTTTTTCATAGTTCCTGCCAGGAAATTAGTCCCTGCATCTGTGAGGATGTCGGAGGGCCAACCTACCCTGGCAAAAATGTCTGCTAGTGCCTGGCACACACTTTTAGCCCTGGTGTTGCTTAGAGCTACTGCTTCCGACCATCGGGTGGCAAAATCCATGAAAGTCAGTATGTACTGCTTTCCTCTGGGTGTCTTTTTCGGAAAAGGACCCAGAATATCCACAGCTACTCGCTGAAATGGAACTTCAATGATGGGGAGTGGCTGGAGAGGGGCTTTGACCTGGTCTTGGGGTTTTCCCACTCTTTGGCACACCTCACAAGACTGGACATAGGTAGAAACATCCTTGCCCATTCCCTCCCAGTGGAATGACCCCCCCAAACGGTCTTTGGTCCTCTTCACCCCAGCATGGCCACTAGGGTGATCATGGGCAAAGCTCAAGAGCTTGGCCCGGTATTTAGTTGGAACTACCAACGGTCTCTGAGGATGCCAGTCTTTCTGGTGTCCCCCAGAAAGAGTTTCCTTGTATAAAAGTCCTCTTTCTACAACAAACCTGGATCGATTAGAAGAGCTGAGAGGCGGTGGGTTGCTCCGTGCCGCCGTCCAAGCTCTCTGGAGGCTTTCATCTGCTTCCTGTTTGGTCTGGAACTGTTCCCTTGATGTTGGAGACATCAGTTCCTCATGGGATTGTGGACCTAGGCTTGGTCCCTCTGGAAGCGATATAGGGGATGGATCTGTTTCTGTTGACTGTGAACCGCTCTCCGCTGGTGCACTATGTTGGGATTCAGGCTCCGGCTGAGCCTCTTGTGTAGGGTTATCGGCTGCTGCCAGTTCAGGTTCGGTGGGGCCCTCTGGTGTTGAGGTTGCAAGTACTGGATTCAGTGCTGACACTGGGTCTGGTGTTGGTTGTTTGGCTGATTCCGGTTCTGGGACTGGTTCCGTCTGGGTCTCTGGGACTGGATCCACTACTGCTGTTGCAGACATTGGCCTGGGGTCCGGGTCTATCACCTCTGACCGGGTCCTGATAGAAGTTTCCGGAACAGAGCTAGGCCTCAAGGCTTGTTTAGCCTGGTTGCGGGTGACCGTTCCCACCCTCTTGGCCTGCTTCACATGATTGACCAAGTCTTCCCCCAACAGCATGGGGATGGGATAATCATCATAGACTGCAAAAGTCCATGTTCCTGACCAGCCCTTGTACTGGACAGGCAACTTGGCTGTAGGCAAATTGAAAGAGTTGGACTTGAAGGGTTGAATCGTCACTTGGATCTCTGGGTTGATTAAATTGGGGTCCTCTAAGGAAGCATGGATAGCTGACACTTGTGCTCCGGTGTCCCTCCACGCAGTGACCTTCTTCCCGCCCACTCTCACAGTTTCCCTCCGCTCCAAGGGTATCTGGGCCTGCGGACCTCTGGTGTGATTCCGGTGCAATGAACTGTAATCTGTTGGGGTTCTTGGGGCAGTTGGCCTTTACATGCCCCAGCTCGTTACATTTAAAACATCGTCCAGCTGACGGGTCACTGGGGCGAGGTGGGTTGCTGGAGAATGGGGTGGTGGGACGATAAGGGGTCTGGAGGGTTCTTTGGGAGGTAGGTGGGGCTTTGGGCGGCCCCCGGTAATAGGGTGTGGTCTGGGGTGGTCCCTTCTGGTCTCCACTCCAACTGTGACAAGTTTTCTTCTTCTCTGCCACCTCCACCCATCTGGCTCCAATCTCTCCTGCCTCGATTACGGTTTTGGGTTTCCCATCTAGGATGTATCTTTCTATTTCCTCAGGAACACCCTCTAAGAATTGTTCCATTTGCATTAGGAAGGGCAAATTTACTGGAGACTCACCACTTGCTCCTGATATCCAGGCATCCCAATGTTTCACAATGTGGTAGGCATGTCGGGTAAATGACATGTCTGGTCTCCACCTTAGGGCTCTGAACCTCCGACGAGACTGCTCGGGTGTTATCCCCATTCTGACTCTCGCCTTGGATTTAAACAGTTCATACTTGTTCATGTGTTCTTTAGGCATTTCAGCTGCCACCTCAGCTAAGGGCCCACTGAGCTAAGGGCCCACTGCCCTCAGCTCTACCATGTATTGGTCAGTAGAGATGTTGTACCCAAGGCAGGCCCTTTTGAAGTTTTCTAGGAAGGCCTCAGTATCATCGCCTGCCTTGTAGGTGGGGAACTTTCTGGGATGGGAAGTGGTACTTGGAGAAGGATTACTAGGGTTTGTTGGGATATTCTGGTGAGCCTTTATCTTCTCCATCTCCTCCACATACTTCCTCTCTTTTTCCTTCTCCTCCAGTTCTTTGTCCCTTCTTCCATAGCTCTCCTGTGAGCAGCCGCTTGGTGTTGTTCTGCCACTCTTGCTTGTTCCTTCTTCAGCCGCATGAGTTCTATCTGTCTTTCATGTTCCCTTTGTCTTTCCGCAGCCTGAAATCTGGCTAATTCCAGCTTGTGTCGAGCCGTGGATTTTGTCATTCTAACCTCTCTGTTTTAACTAACTTTACACCCAAGGTTTAGAAATAAACAAAACTTGGCTGTAAAATTTTGCTGTGCTGGAATAGAATACCTATTCTCTGATACTGATAGTCAGCCTACAGAAAAAGACAATTCCCTTGTCTCTGCTCTGGGCCCAAATCAAAGCAAAAAACCTCCAACTACTTGGAAACCTGATTACCAGCAGCCCAACGGAAAAAAAAAATTCCTTTTCAAACCTGTGCTCCTTGTAAAACAAAAAAAATCAAAATCCTAAAAAAAAAACCCTGCCACTTTTGTCTCCAGGCAAATGGGTAGAACACCCCCCTCCCTATTTACTTTTAGGGGAAAAAAAACTCTGGGTTGGAAGACTGTGAATTTCCCTGCAGGAGTTAAGTACCCTGCCTCCAGGCAAAGAAAACCTGCAATTCACAAAGATAATCCCCTTTTGTCTCTGCTTGGCCACAAAGCAGAGAAAAACAAGCTGCTTTCAGTTTCAGCTGCTTTCTGGACTTCCTTTCCAAAGGAAAAACATTTCCTTTTTTAAAATCTGTATTTCTAGTTCAAAAAATCTCAATTGGACCTCAAAATGATTTCAGGTTAATCCCACCACTATGCCACCATGTCAAGGTTCCTCCCCCACTCTGAATTCTAGGGTACAGATGTGGGGACCTGCATGAAAAACCTCCTAAGCTTATCTTTACCAGCTTAGGTCAAAACTTCCCCAAGGTACAAAATATTCCACCCTTTGTCCTTGGATTGGCCGCTACCACCACCAAACTAATACTGGTTACTGGGGAAGAGCTGTTTGGACGCGTCTTTCCCTCCAAAATACTTCCCAAAACCTTGCACCCCACTTTCTGGACAAGGTTTGGTAAAAAGCCTCACCAATTTGCCTAGGTGACTACAGACCCAGACCCTTGGATCTTAAGAACAATGAACAATCCTCCCAACACTTGCACACCCCCTTTCCTGGGAAATGTTGGATAAAAAGCCTCACCAATTTGCATAGGTGACCACAGACCCAAACCCTTGGATCTGACAACAATGAAAAAGCATTCAGTTTTCTTACAAGAAGACTTTTAATAAAAATAGAAGTAAATAGAAAAAAAGAAATCCCCCCTGTAAAATCAGGATGGTAGATACCTTACAGGGTAATTAGATTCAAAACATAGAGAACCCCTCTAGGCAAAACCTTAAGTTACAAAAAAGATACACAGACAGAAATAGTTATTCTATTCAGCACAGTTCTTTTCTCAGCCATTTAAAGAAATCATAATCTAACACGTACCTAGCTAGATTACTTACTAAAAGTTCTAAGACTCCATTCCTGGTCTATCCCCGGCCAAGACAGAATGTAGACAGACACACAGACCCTTTGATTCTCTCCCTCCTCCCAGCTTTTGAAAGTATCTTGTCTCCTCATTGGTCATTTTGGTCAGGTGCCAGCGAGGTTACCTTTAGCTTCTTAACCCTTTACAGGTGAGAGGAGCTTTCCCCTGGCCAGGAGGGATTTCAAAGGGGTTTACCCTTCCCTTTATATTTATGACACGCTCCCCAAATCTCAGCTAGGGTGAAACACTGGCTGGGATTTCTTCCTGGAGCTCTAGGAAAAACAGAGTTAATAAGACACATGCATCTCTAAATATACTACCAAGTACATAAAGACTAACAATATTTTCTACATCTCAAGGACGATTTTAACCAGTTGATTCTGGGAAACTTTCATGGGAGAGTGCATCAGCCACTTTGTTAGAAGCTCCTGAGATGTGTTGGATGTCGAAATCAAAATCTTGGAGAGCTAAACTCCACCGAAGAAGTTTTTTGTTAGTTTCTTTGATGGTGTGAAGCCACTTCAGTGCAGCATGGTCGGTTTGCAGGTGGAAACGCCGTCCCCAAACATATGGGCGTAGCTTTTCCAGAGCGTAGACAATGGCGTAACATTCTTTTTCAGTGACTGACCAGTTGCTTTCCCTCTCAGACAGTTTTTTGCCGAGAAACACTACAGGCTGGAATTCTTGATCAGGTCCTTTCTGCATTAAAACTGCTCCCACACCACACTTGGACGCATCTGTGGCTACTAGGAACGGTTTGTCAAAGTCTGGGGCCCTTAGTACAGGGTCAGACATGAGTGTCGCTTTAAGCTTGTTAAAGGCCTTCTGACACTTTTCGGTCCACTGAACAGCATTTGGCTGTTTCTTTTTGGTTAGGTCTGTCAGTGGGGCGGCGATTTGGCTGTAGTGTGGTACAAATCGTCTGTAATAACCGGCCAAGCCTAAGAAGGATTGAACCTGTTTCTTTGACTTTGGGACAGGCCACTTTTGGATAGCATCCACTTTGGCCTGTAGGGGGCTGATAGTTCCTTGACCCACCTGGTGTCCAAGGTAAGTCACTCTGTTTAGGCCTATTTGACACTTCTTAGCCTTAACAGTTAGTCCTGCCTCCCTTATGCGCTCAAGGACTTTTTGTAGATGTTCCAGGTGGTCTGCCCAGGAATCCAAAAATATGGCCACATCGTCAAGGTAGGCAACTGCATATTCTCCTAATCCCGCTAGGAGACCATCTACAAGTCTTTGGAAGGTGGCGGGTGCATTTCGCAGCCCGAAAGGGAGTACATTAAATTCATACAGCCCGAGATGTGTGGTGAAGGCTGACCTTTTCTTGGCAGATTCATCTAGCGGTACCTGCCAGTACCCCTTGGTTAAGTCCAGGGTAGAGATGAACTGGGCCCGTCCCAGTTTCTCTAATAGTTCATCTGTGCGTGGCATTGGATAGTTGTCTGGGCGAGTTACAGCATTTAGCTTACGGTAGTCCACGCAAAAACGTATTTCCCCATCTGGTTTGGGAACTAGAACCACTGGAGATGCCCATGCACTTTCAGAGGGGTGGATTACACCCATCTGTAACATATCCTGGATCTCCCGTTCTATAGCAGTTTTAGCTTGAGGAGACACCCGGTAAGGTTGGACTTTAATTGGGTGAGCATTACCTGTGTCAACGGAGTGGTATGCCCGTTCAGTCAGTCCTGGGGTGGCTGAGAACATCGGCGCGTAGCTAGTGCACAGCTCCTTGATCTGCTGTCGCTGCATACACCCAAGGGTCATGGAGAGGTTCACCTCTTCCACACCACTACCACATTTCCCTTCGTAGTAGACACTTTCAGGCCACTCAGCGTCGTCTCCTCCCTGGGCTGTAAACTGACAAACCTTTAATTCTCTGGAATAAAAGGGCTTTAGAGAATTAATATGGTACACCTTAGGCTTTCGGTTGGAGGTGGGGAATGCTATGAGATAATTAACAGCTCCCAGGCGCTCCTGGACCGTGAATGGCCCTTCCCACGATGCTTCCATTTTATGGGCTTGGAGCACCTTTAAGACCATGACCTGGTCCCCTACTTTGAAGGAACGCTCTCTGGCATGTTTATCAGACCAGGCTTTTTGCTCTTTTTGAAAATAGAAAAAAAGAAATCCCCCCTGTAAAATCAGGATGGTAGATACCTTACAGGGTAATTAGATTCAAAACATAGAGAACCCCTCTAGGCAAAACCTTAAGTTACAAAAAAGATACACAGACAGAAATAGTTATTCTATTCAGCACAGTTCTTTTCTCAGCCATTTAAAGAAATCATAATCTAACACGTACCTAGCTAGATTACTTACTAAAAGTTCTAAGACTCCATTCCTGGTCTATCCCCGGCCAAGACAGAATGTAGACAGACACACAGACCCTTTGATTCTCTCCCTCCTCCCAGCTTTTGAAAGTATCTTGTCTCCTCATTGGTCATTTTGGTCAGGTGCCAGCGAGGTTACCTTTAGCTTCTTAACCCTTTACAGGTGAGAGGAGCTTTCCCCTGGCCAGGAGGGATTTCAAAGGGGTTTACCCTTCCCTTTATATTTATGACAAAAGCCATATGAAGAGACCAGAGCCTTCATCCTTAATGGGTTTTGGGGAGAACCAAGAGAGGGTATCTGCAGAAGCTAGGGAGATGGAGTTGAAGTTGGCAAGATGCAGTTTTTCAAGGTTACATTAGGAACCAGCTGACTCCAGGATGAAGGACAAATATATCATACCTATTTAATGCTTTATTTGTACTTAAACTATTAAACTATTGCAGAGGGAGAAGGTAAAAAATGTAAAATGGGAGGAATATGCTGAGGGCATGGCAGACTGGGGAACAGGAAGAGATAAGGCAGTGGGGGAACACCCACACAGAAAGAATTGCACTAAGGCAGCTGTAAAAAAACAAACCAGAAGAAGAACTCTGTGTAAGCTTAAAAGCTTGTCTCTTTCACCAACAGAAGGAGGTCCAATAAAAGATATTACCTCACCCATCTTGTCTCTGTGAAAAACAGTGGCATTTATCAGCAATTCCAGGGCCTGAGCAAAGGGCTCAGCCAGCAGAAAGTTCAAAGATAATGGAAAGAATTCCTAGCACCAGAAGAGAGCTCATTTGCATTGACAAATCCAATGCCATTATAACAGCCAAGCTCCTGACATTTGGGGATGGACTCCAGAGAATGTTAACAAACGTGATCATCTTCCTCAGCAAGCACATTGGGCCACGTAGCACAGCTTCAGGCTAGCATGGAGAACACACCACCGTAATATGATGTCCCACCAGCAGCTGGCAGCAGAAAAAATTGCCCCTGAAGGAGCTCATGGAAGAACGGCCAATCGGAGTGCCAGCTGCACAGCAAGTCTATTTCCTGATTACAACAGTGGATGAGAGGGAGGGAAGCAGTCTCAGCACGGATGCCTGAAGCATACACCACAATAAGATGAAGCTAGATCCAAGCTAACCTGGCCCAAAGAAAGCATCACCACCCAAGAGGAGGAACAGAACTCATGCCAACACCTGAGAACCCAAGGGTGCCCAGCATGAAGTCTGCAGGCTAAACTCAGCTCAGAGAGTTCTGCCATGTCTAACATGGAGGTGCGGTGCACAGAGAGGACAGTCCCAGCTGGTTGCACCTCCACATTTAAGAGGAGGAGGGTGGCTGCAATTTACTTGGTTTAGTGCACATTACATGCAGCCTTCACACTTCTGGCAAGTTGCCAACACAGTCCTAGGCTGGGCAAAGTTTGGGCTCCCCTGAGATAACCCAGCTACAGGCCACAATCATGTTAAAGGAATACCATGATCCAGAGTATCGAATGCCAATGACATGAGAACCAGTCACTCTACCTACCTGTCTGGGCCCCATCAAGTGCACCCTGGTCTGGAGGAACAGAAACAAAGTTACAACAAGCCGTCTGTACTGGCAATCACAATCACACACACACACACCCCCTAGGGGTCTCTCTCTTCCCCTATGTTCCTATCAAAACCAAGGTCATCTAGTGGTTCAAGGAGAGGACTGGGAGTCAGAACTCCTGAGTCTTACTCCTGCACCTTTCCCTGGGTGTTTCACTAACTCAGTGTGTAACCTTGGTCGACTCACTTCCCTGCTATGTACTTCAGTTTTCCCATCTGTAAAACTGGGATAACAGCACTCCCCTACACAGTAGGGTGAAGTGACTCTTGTTCAAAGTGTCAGAAACCTCTGACTGAGAGGGGTTTAGAGATAGATGGAGGATGTGCCTTACAATATGGATCAATATAATTAGTAGAGAGTGAGCCCACTTTGCAATAAGCCAGATCTCACTTATAAAGCAGCAGATGGGGACTATTATACTCCAGATGCTTCCATGATATTTTGTGAACCCTTAATATTATTGCCTACCAATAAGTGAAAAAGAGCAGCTCATAGCCCTGGTCTACACTAGGACTTTAGGTCGAATTTAGCAGCGTTAAATCAATGTAAACCTGCACCCATCCACACGATGAAGCCCTTTATTTCGACTTAAAGGGCTCTTAAAATCGATTTCTGTACTCCACCCCTGACAAGTGGATTAGCGCTTAAATCGGCGTTGCTGGGTCGAATTTGGGGTACTGTGGACACAATTCGATGGTATTGACCTCCGGGAGCTATCCCAGAGTGCTACATTGTGACCGCTCTGGACAGCACTCTCAACTCAGATGCACTGGCCAGGTAGACAGGAAAAGAACTGCGAACTTTTGAATCTCATTTCCTGTTTGGCCAGTGTGGCAAGCTGCAGGTGAGTGCGGAGCTCATCAGCAGAGGTGACCATGCAGAGCTCATCAGCAGAGGTGACCATGATGGAGTCCCAGAATCACAAAAGAGCTCCAGCTTGGACCGAACAGGAGGTACGGGATCTGATCGCTGTCTGGGGAGAGGAATCCGTGCTATCAGAACTACGTTCCAGTTTTCGAAATGCCAAAACCTTTGTCAAAATCTCCCAGGGCATGAAGGACAGAGACCATAACAGGGATCCGAAGCAGTGCCACGTGAAACTTAAGGCGCTGAGGCAAGCCTACCAGAAAATCAGAGGGGCGAACGGCCGCTCCGGGTCAGAGCCCTAAACATGCCGCTTCTATGATGAGCTGCATGCCATTTTAGGGGGCTCAGCCACCACTACCCCAGCCGTGTTGTTTGACTCCTTCAATGGAGATGGAGGCAACACGGAAGCAGGTTTTGGGGACGAAGAAGATGATGATGACGACGAGGTGGTAGATAGCTCACAGCAAGCAAGTGGAGAAACGGGTTTTCCCGACAGCCAGGAACTGTTTCTCACCCTGGACCTGGAGCCAGTACCCCCCGAACCCACCCAAGCCTGCCTCCTGGACCCGGCAGGTGGAGAAGGGACCGCCGGTGAGTGTACCTTTTAAAATACTATACATGGTTTAAAAGCAAGCATGTGAAAGGATTAATTTGCCCTGGCACTCATGGCTCTCCTGGATGTACTCCCAAAGCCTTTGCAAAAGGTTTCTGGGGAGGGCAGCCTTATTGCGTCCTTCATGGTAGGACACTTTACCACTCCAGGCCAGTAACACGTACTCGGGAATCATTGTACAACAAAGCATTGCAATGTACGTTTGCTGGCGTTCAAACAAGATCTGTTCTTTATCTCTCTGTGTTATCCTCAGGAGAGTGAGATATCATTCATGGTCACCTGGTTGAAATAGGGTGCTTTTCTTCAGGGGACACTCAGAGGAGCCCGTTCTTGTTCGGCTGTTTGCCTGCAGCTGAACAGAAATGTTCCCCGCTGTTAGCCACGGGGAGGAGGGAGGGTTGAGGGGGTAGCCACGTGGTGTGGGGAGGCAAAATGCGACCTTGTAACGAAAGCACATGTGCTATGTATGTAATGTTAACAGCAAGGTTTACCCTGAAAGACTGTAGCCACTGTTTTATAAAATGTGTCTTTTTAAATACCGCTGTCCCTTTTTTTTTCTCCACCAGCTGCATGTGTTTCAATGATCACAGGATCTTCTCCTTCCCAGAGGCTAGTGAAGATTAGAAAGAAAAAAAACACACTCGTGATGAAATGTTCTCTGAGCTCATGCTGTCCTCCCACACTGACAGAGCACAGACGAATGCATGGAGGCAAATAATGTCAGAGTGCAGGAAAGCACAAAATGACCCGGAGGAGAGGTGGCAGGCTGAAGAGAGTAAGTGGCGGGCTGAAGAGAGGGCTGAAGCTCAAATGTGGCGGCAGCATGATGAGAGGAGGCAGGATTCAATGCTGAGGCTGCTGGAGGATCAAACCAGTATGCTCCAGTGTATGGTTGAGCTGCAGCAAAGGCAGCTGGAGCACAGACTGCCACTGCAGCCCGAGCACAGACTGCCACTGCAGCCCCTCTGTAACCAACCGCCCTCCTCCCCAAGTTCCATAGCCTCCACACCCAGACGCCCAAGAACGCGATGGGGGGGCCACCGGCCAACCAGCCACTCCACCACAGAGGATTGCCCCAAAAAAAGAAGGCTGGCATTCAATAAATTTTAAAGTTGTAAACTTTTGAAGTGCTGTGCTTAAAGTGCTGTGTGGCATTTTCCTTCCCTCCTCCACCACCCCTCCTGGGCTACCTTGGTAGTCATCCCCCTATTTGTGTGATGAATGAATAAAGAATGCATGAATGTGAAGCAACAATGACTTTATTGCCTCTGCAAGCGGTGATCGAAGGGAGGAGCGGAGGGTGGTTAGCTTACAGGGAAGTAGAGTGAACCAAGGGGCGGGGGGTTTCATCAAGGAGAAACCAACAGAACTTTCATACCGTAGCCTGGCCAGTCATGAAACTGGTTTTCAAAGCTTCTCTGATGCGTACCGCGCCCTCCTGTGCTCTTCTAACCG